TCGAGGGCCTGTTGGTGCTCACGCTGCTGGCGTTGGAGGGCAGCGGTCTCCTTGTAAAGGTGTGCGTGAAGAGCGGCGGCCGATGCTTGTTGATCGCGGAGTTGTTGGGACTTATTCTGGGCCACAGAAGCTTTTTGCTCCTGCTCTTGCTGCCGTAGCTCCTGTGCGTGCTTGTTTGTGGCGGCCTCTTCGTCGATGGCGATACTGGCGACGGCGAAGGCTTTCGTGACGGCCCGTTGTTGTTGTTCGAGGGTGAGTTGATCCTAGTCGGTCGCAGCGTAGAGCGGCGGGCACGCGGAAAGCGGGAGCTTACTGGGCTCCGGTTTAGCGTCGTAGGTGTTGGACATGGCGGAGAGGCTGAGAAGCCTGAGTAGCGACAATATCCACGGGGGAAGGGAGTGACGAGGAAGGGTTGATAAAGGTGCCGGTCTCATTGCCGTTAATTGACGGCTGTGCGGTGTCTGAAACGGGTAAGGTGCCATACTGTCGAGCGGTGCGAGCAGCGTACCGCTGTGCGCGGGCGTGCCGCTGTAGGCTGATGCGTGCATTGAGTTTTGTAGCCGAGAGCTCAAAGCAAGAACGATGCATGAGATCACGCCGTTGTTGGGATAGGGCGGGAGACTGCTGTGTTCCGCTCTGAAGGGGGGTGGTGAACAACGTGTCAAGATCGAACGACTTTTCATGTTCCCATAGAGCGACGTGGGCGTCGCCATGCGGCGAAACCCCCCCATATTTGTGTACTGCGGGCCTGCGGGCCGCTCTTTGCACGAAGCACGCACCACAGTGAGTGCAGAAGTAGCGACGCACAGACAGCAGAAGTAGCAAGCGGTGTGCTGCTGCAGCTGCAACTGGGTGTTGGCATGGATAGGTTCCTCCCATCTACCGGCGGTCCATCTGATGCCGCCAAAAAAAGAGTCGTGCATGACCTCGTCCCTCACCGAGGGCGAGGTTACCTCTCGCTGGGAGGAATTTCGATCCTACAGATAGCGCCCGCAAGTAAGAAACGTCAAAATCGGTGCGAGCCTCACCATCTATCCCTTCTTTTGGGTCGAAGTACCGGCCCAAGTCGTCCATTTCGTTGATGGCATTTCTTCTTCCTTTGGACTGTCGCATCCTCCCGATTCTCTTGTTCCTTAGACTATAAAAAGTACTTTGTGTTTTCTTTGTTCTGTCTTTTGATCTCTGAGGACAATCCACATCATCAAGCCCTCAAGAGAGGTGGTGGAGAGTACCATCAAACCCGTACAACGACCGAGAGCATATGGTTGTCCGCGATGTGTGGCAGTACTACAGTACAGCACTCACTGTGAACAGCAGGGGCGCGCGGGGGCGGGGGGCGGGGGGGCTCTGTTCCCTACAAAAAAATGCACTTCTGTTCAGCTTGGGAGGGGGTATCGCACCATCACGTTTCTTATGGGGGCGTTGCTTACGTTGTGGCCGAGATTGGGCTATGTTTCTGAGCCCTTTTTGCTCTTTTTTGGTAGCCTTTTTTCTTACAGAATGTTCCTTAACTGCGGGCGCTATCTGTACTTGAACGCGAAGGGAAGGGGTGGCGAGTACCGTGAGACGCAGTACCTTCTNACCATCAAACCCGTACAACGACCGAGAGCATATGGTTGTCCGCGATGTGTGGCAGTACTACAGTACAGCACTNCTGATGTCATGGGGGTATGGCACCATGATGTTTCTTATTGGGGCGTTTCTAACGTTGTAGTAGCCGAGATTGAGCTATGTTTCTTAGCCCTTTTTTCTTATTTTTCGCACAAGCTTGAGCCTTTTTTCTTGACAGAATTTTTCTTAACTGCGGGCACTACAATGTATCTGTATGTATTTGTACGCGAAGGGAAGGGGTGGCGAGTACCGTGAGACGCAGTACCTTCTTTCGAAGACGGTTCATGCGTTTACTCATGAAACTCAACAGAGCCGTAGAGCCAAGCCGCGGGGGGAGGTTCAGGGAACTCTTCGCGGTATGAGGAAGGAATAGCCATCAGGGTAGCTTTTGGTCTCCGCCGGGACAGTGGTATGTACTGGTGTTCCTCGGTGCGACGCTGAAATACGCTCGTTGTTTTTTGTTTCACAAGAATGAGATAAATATNGCCGTAGAGCCAAGCCGCGGGGGGAGGTTCAGGGAACTCTTCGCGGTATGTGGAAGGAAAAGCCATCAAAGTAGCTTTTGGTCTCCGCCGGGACAGTGATGATATGTACAGGTGTTCCTCGTTGCGACGCTGAAATAGGCTGTTTTTTTTTTGTTCACAAGAAACAGGGTTTCCGCCTGATTGAGAGCGGAGTATACGATGAGAGCGGGAGCCAAAAAAATTGAAATTTCGGGTCCAGACGCCTCTTGCCATTTCTTGGGAAGTAGGGGGCGGGCTCTTCCAA